GGTGGCTCGTGCCTGTAATCCCAGCACTTGGGAGGCTGAAAACAGGAGAATCACTATGAGTCTGATCTACATAATGAGACCTTGTAGACCCTGTACCAAATACATAAAATAAATCAATGAATAAATAAACATAAGTTAAGTTTTAAAGGTCTGTAGCTGAGTACCCCCATTGATCTTTGTTGTTCTTTATAGTCTTTAGACTGCTGACCATGAATAAGAGAAAGGTGTTGGGCTAGATGCAGCCATGGATGTGGTTTCAAATCCGTCTACAGAAAAGGTCATAACCTCAGTGGTCACTGGAGACCTCCTAAGGCAAACTAGATGTAAGTGAGAATTAGGTATAGAGTAACTTTGAGTAAAGAAGATAGTTAGCATTGTTCATTTTGTTTAGTTTTAAAATGAGGAATGGTCTAACTGTGACAACCCCTACAACAAAACCTCTTTATTTTATTTATTTTTATTTTTTTGGCAGAACCAGGGATTAATCTCAGGTCCCTGCACTTGCCAGGCAAGCGCTTATTCCACTGAGCCACCTCCCCGGCCCAGCAAAACCTCTTTAACACCTAGCAGTTCCTTCGGTCCTTAACTATGCCACATGTCTTTATTATTGTTAAATACTTGTATATGTTTATTTTTAATGTGGCAATAAACGCTCCACAAAGGGAATGTACTCGTGTACCATAGATGTTAACAAAATGATCCACACATAATAGTATTTAATACAGGTGCTGGTTGAAGTCCCCTCTTTTTTTTTAAATTTTACTGTGGTGGGGGGTATGAGGAGATAGTTCAGCAGCAGAAGCGCCTGCCTGGCAAGTGCAAGGTACTAAGTTTGATTCCTGGTTTAAAAAAAAAAAATCAAATGTTTTACTGTGGGCCAAGAATTATGTCAGGCCCTAAGGAATCATTGGAGCCTGCCAGTCCCTGCCCCACTTACCTAGGGAATGTATACCTCATGTGGAACCATCATTATCACTGAGGTAGTACACTGCTATTCCACTTGGTGTTCTCTTTTAAAAATAAACATAGTCTGGAGGGCCAGCTAATAGCAGTGTTTGCCTTGCAAGCACAAGACTGTGGACTCATTCCCAGAACTTCAAAAACATTTCGTTTAAAATAAAATAACTGGGGCTGGAGAGATGGCTCAGTGGTCTAAAGCACCTACTTAGAACAAGCTTAGCAAAGCACAGGGACCGCGATTCAATCCCCCAGCACCACATGCCAGCCATCTAAAAATAAAATAACTTCTCATTGGTCATTACACTGCATGTCTCAGATTTTCAGTCACAAGGAGAGGGGCCCAAGTAGCACACCTATTGAATTGAAACTGTGAGAGAAAACATAAAATGCTGGGACAAAACTTGCTTTCATCTTAGATTAGATCTAGTGTCCAGTCCACCTGTCCAGTACGGATTTTGAAGGGGTACAAAAGAGTAAATGATGTTCCAGGCAAACCTGAGATAATTTTTAAAGTGGAGCTTGGATCCAGCGGTGCATACCCAGCATCCCAGCTACTCAGAAGAACCAGAAGTTTGAAACTAGCCTGAGCGACATAACAAGACCTTTCCTCAAATGTTTCAATGTGAAAATAAAAAAGGATGGGGCTGCCACTCAGTGGTGGTGTCCTTCTGGGCTCAGTCCCCAGTACCACAGAGAGGGTGGGGGCTAGATGATCCTACACTTCTGAGATACTTTCACATCTTATTTTTGCCCAACTTCTCACCAGAGAGCCCATAGATAACCTAAATGCAATACTGTTTCTCTCTTCCTCTCCTTCCTCAGCTTTTGCTTTGGCACCTGTTGTAAAGGAAACTATCCCAATGGTAGATGGCAGAAATAGCAAGTGGCAGGTTGAATAATGAACCTCTCAAACACACTGTTGTTAGCCTCCATCCTCAACTCATACGTGGCATAGAATCCTTTAGCTCCAAGTCTTGTCTTACCTTTTTCTTTTTAAAACAAAAATCTGATTTTTTATGAACCCAGAAACAGACCTGCTTCTTGATGGTTAAAAGAAATGCGTGGGATTCAGCTAATGTGAGAGGACAAAGATCATCCTAATCACAACAAACACAAAAAGGGCCACAAAGCCCTCTCTCCACGCATGTCCTCCTCACAGCCTTCTTTCCTCCCCAACTCAGTCTTTTGTCCCACCTTGAGGAATAAGGAGAAGCAGCTGTTTGCGGTGTTTGTAGACTGGGGGTGAGAGCAGCATCAAGAATGGTTTGGTGAGAATGCTGTTAGTACAGTTCTCTTGCTGAGCTGTGTGGAACTCTTGGGGTGTGGGCAGCTGTGGGAGCCCGAGGGATGGACTGGAGTCTGGAGTAGGTCGGCAGCATTGTGACTGCTGAATCTCGCTCAGCCTTAGTTTCATAAATCCTTTTCTTGTTTTTCAATTCAGTAAAGTGCCCTAGTCTGTTAAGTGCCACAAATAGCAGTAATGCCCAAAGCAGATTTCCCTCTAGAACTATGATGCTATTTTGTATTTTTATCCTCATCTGTTTTTAAGAACTAATAAAGTATCAGCTTCTGATTTTCATCTCCCTACTACAATATGTATTTACACAATGCCATAGTTAATATTTTACCTGAATCATTTTTTCATAAATCTCATTAAAACATATTGAAGCAGGAATTATTAAACAAGGAATAAATTTTCTATAATTTTCTTATTACTTTGCTTTCTCTTTCATTCAGACTTACAGTTAATGAGTTTCAACCTCAGGTTTTCTCACTTGTTGATTTTCAGACCTTGGCCATTTTGACTACACTTGGTACAAGGACCTGCTGATGGAGATGTTTTTTCATAGATGTTTAAGAGCTAACACCAACTTTCTCTCTTGTGCTTTGTTTAGATTTCGACACAGTCCCAACTGCTTGTACCTAAGAGCTTGGACTATCCACACGTGGATTAGGCAGTGTCTAAAATATGGTGCCCAAGACAAAGCCTTGTATACCCTTGTCAATAAGGTGAGTAGCTATCCTAGGCATTGTCCACATCACTGGGACAACATACCCGGCCAGCACCCACAATTTAGAGATGTTGATTTGCAGCCCGTTTCGTACTGTCATTCCTTGCAGGGCTCAGGCAGAAGGGCCTGGATGGAGGAGGGCGGCTCATGTCATGGTGCACAGGAAGCAGAGTGTGAAGGGAGGAGCTGGGGAAGGGATACACCCTTTCAGGTCATACCCGCCTTTAACAGCATGATGTCTCCATAATCCAGTCACCTTCTAAAGGACCCATCTCAGAGAGCAGGAGGCTTTGAGGGGAATCTAGGTGTAAACTATCACGTGGCTTCATGACATGTTTTCTGAGCTTAGATAATAGGGTGTTTTTACCTGTGATAGTACAAAAGAGAATAGCACTAGAAATTACTCTAAATTTTTTGCCCTCAGACAACCCTTTTCAGAATATGGATGGATATAAATCAGTGAACAAATCAAAAATAAAAATCCCAGAGCTGCTGCTTTTCCAAGAAGAATGAGTCAGGAAAGATAGGTAAAAGTGAAAGATTATCCAATCAGAAGAACTCTGCACTTGGGCTCATTTTATTCTCAATCCCTAACCCTTGAGCCTTAAATTTCCTCCATTATTCCTTTTGATGAAGTCTGGGAGTAGGAGGAAATGACCACTTTTGCTATTTAGAATGTGATTTCTAGAATATTCTGACTTTTTTTTTTTTTTTTTTTTTTTTTTCAGAACCAGGGATTGAACTCAGGCCCTTGCACTTGCCAGGGAAGCGCTTATTCCACTGAGCCATCTCCCTGGCCCAACTGTTTGTTTTTTAAAAGACAGTGTTGCCAGGGATATAACTCAGTAGCACAGCACCTGCCTGGTAAGCACAAGGTCCTAAGTTCGATTCCTGGTATCAAAAATAAATAAAACTTCTCCTAGGTAATTCATGCTGTCCCTTTTAAGTCCCCTGATACCTCCCCTTAATCAAGTCCAAGAATTGGCCATGATTAAGATGTTTTTGTATGTTATACTCCACCCAGGCGTTGAGTACTTATTGCTTTCATGGTATGAAGGAAAATACAAAATAGACTAGAGCGTCCAGTGTTGGTATTGTGGGTCTCACTGGACCTTGAAAGTGTGAACTTACAGGGAATACTCATTTTTGTGTTTGTGTCCTTTCTGAGTGGAAGTTATTCCCATGACTTGAGCCCAGTTCAACTTTGCATACATTGTACACAGTTTTGTATGTGAGACACAGATGGAGATTAGTTGTAGTGGTGACCACAAGAATGAGCAATAGCTACTTGCCCTCAGAAAGCAGATAAGGTAATAAGGCAGTAAAGCAAGTTCACTGTTAAATCTAATATTAACCAAATGTAAGTGCCATCCAAGAACACCAGTAGAAGAGGAACTAAGAGAAGGAATCCAATTGGAAGAAAAGAATTAATATAAAGTATCATTTAAGCTGATCATCAAAAGATGCATGCTTGAAAAATCATTTGCTGCCCGTTGGCCTAGAGTATACAGTATACTGGGATGGAGATGGGGAGTGGCTCTGAGTCACTGGGTAGGAGAGGAATAGAAGACTAAGCCAGGTCCTTAGATGATCAAGTAATGGCCTTGAACCTCAAGAGGGAAAGGGATAGGCTCACAGGAAGGCGTGAGTTCAGTCTAGCTCTCTTCAGAGTATGACACAGGTTACACTCAAAGAAGACGCCTAGGATGAAACAGGAAGAGCTTGTGTAGAAAAATAAACAGAATCTCATTTCTGCTGCCTCTAGAATCTTTTGGGTTTTTTGGTTTTTTGTTTTTTGTTTTTTTTTTGCAGAACCAGGGATTGAACTCAGGCCCTTGTGCTTGTCAGGGAAGCGCTTATTCAACTGAGCCATTTCCCCGGCCCCTTACTAGAATCTTTTTAATGATGAGATCACTAGCTGAAGGGTCAAAAGAGCCAAGTCACATGCCCACAGGGTCCACCAGTTGCACCAAATCCTTCAGGAAGGATTCCTTCTAGGTCCTAGTTTTTCAGCTCTAATTTGAGCAGGTTGTACTTCCTAAACCACTGATTTCTAACTCTAGCTGCCCATTATAGTCACCCAAAAACTTCCTAAAAATTATAGATACTTGTTTCTACCCCTGAAATTCTAAGACTAATTGCATTAATCTGTATGGTACCCAAGTATTGCTGTTATTGTTGTTTAGCTATTTAATAAATTCTGTGTTTTAGAATCACAGTAAAATTGAGCAGAAAATAGGGATTTTCCTTTTGTTTTCTGCTCCAGCACATACATAACCTCCCCCATAATCAGCATCCCACCCCTAGAATGACACAATCATTAGAATTGGTGAATTGCATCACCCAAAGCCAATAGTTTGCCTTGGAGTTCATTCTTGATATTGTATATTTTGTGAACATTTATGACAAAATGCTTAATGACATGAATCCACCATACAGTAGCATACTGGATACTTTGCTCTAAAATAATGAAATGTGCTCTGTTTCTTTATCCCTCATAGGTATATTGATTTTAACCTCTCAGTGGGTTTTGATTGATACTGAGGCTTGAGAATTGTGGACCAGTTGCTTTCTGAGGTTCTTTCTAGCTCTAATGATTTATCATCCTAAGATATTTTGAGTTTACCCTACCTCAAGGATTAGTGCTTATTTGGATGACTGCTTTGAGAAATAATAGATACTGGGTCATGAGCTACCGCCTTTCGAAGGGTGGCTTTTAAAGGCTTTTCCATCAGCATACCAGAGGCATCCCATGCCTGCTGGTGACAGTGAGTCAGGCCTACACGATCTCATAGTTGGGATCAGGGCTATATCTGAACCTCTCCAGGGAGTGGAACAACTGGGGAAATTCCTCAGGTGCTTCTAGCAGTTGGTGAGGGAAGAACAAAGCAGCATGGGGCGTGGTGGTCAGTCCTCCTGAAGTTTACAAATGTGAGACAGAAATGTGCTGCAATCCAGCTCACCGGGTGTCAGACTTGAGTGTACATGAAAATCACATAAGCTCATTGAAACTTCAAGTTTCTGTGTCAAATTCTCAGAGATCTGATTCTGTGGCTCTGAGGCTTCAAAGCACTTTACAAAAAATTCTAAAGCAAATCCACATTTATTCTTAAAATTCTATTCATAAAATTTCCACCTGAGTTTGAATTATGTATTTAGCTGCTTGTAAGCACAAGGTCCTCGGATAGGAGATTGGTTAATGGCAGATACACATTTGCACATTTCTGGGTCTTTAAAGTACAGGGAATGCTGTATTACATATTCTTCCTCTTGAGTATTCTTTTTTATGTTGCTATTCATACCTTGTAAAAAAGAATCACTGAACTGCTGGGAGGTGGAGTTACTTGGCTTTTTCTTTTTTCATTGTAGCTCTTCTGACGAGGTGTTAGAATGGAGCTTTATTTTTCACATATCAATTGTCTCGTATCAGACACCCACTCACAAGTTTCTCACCCTGACCAACAGTTCCACTTACCAAATTTCATGAGTCACAGCTTCTGTTTCACTGTCACAGATGCTGTAAAATGATAGTCAGACAGTTTAAGGCTAATGGTGGCAGGTTTTATCCTGAATAATACATAGGCATACATTACAGACCGAATTAAAATGAATAAAAATTCTCCTTTTATTTTCATTTTCATTATAGGTTCAATATGGAATTTTTCCAGATAATTTTACATTCAACTTATTGCTGGATTCTTTCATAAAGAAAGAAAATTACAAAGGTAAGAACCAATCCCAGTTATTATAGGTCTTCCAGCTTCCAAAGGGAAGAGTATAATGCAGGCACATTCCCCGTTAATTTATTTCTCAGTGACACCTTTACATCATTCCTTAAATCAGAAAAGTTTTCAGGAAAGTTATTATCTTTTATGCAAAAAAATAGGATAGGAAATATAAAAGTACATAAATAATTATAGAGAAAGTTCATTGCACATGCTAGTCTAATTTTACTTCCCAAGCTGAAGTACAGAATATAAATAAAGAACAAAGTAAATCTGATTTAGTTTTCATGTGTAATTTTGTATTCTGAATGAATAGCTGGCAGAACTTAGTTTTTGTGTTATTGGGGTTTTTTGTTTTGTTTTGTTTTGTTTTGTTTGTTTGTTTTTTGCAATACCAGTGATTGAACTCAGGACCTTGTGTTTGCCAGGCAAGCACTTACTCTTGTGTTGTTTTTAACCAGGTTATTAACCTTGTGTTCTTTGAAAATATTATTGGTTTATTTAAAAGAAAATCTCCACCAATTCCCTATTTTGCTAGATTTACTAGTTCACTTCCAGGTCTGTCTGGTCTGTCTCAGTTTCTCCACTGCATAAAAATATAGAAATGTATACCTCTGGTCTCCTTTAGATCCATAACAGTACAGTAGTCTCTTACTATTGTGCAGTTTGACTTTCACAGACTCAGTATTTCACAAGTTTTCAAAAAATATTAATCTAAATTGTTTATTGCAGATCTTTCACTATATCATGGGATTTTGTGATAATGTACAGTACTGTGTATACATTTATATGCATAGTATATAGTTTCAATGATTTTTGCCTACAAATTTTTAAAATATATAAAAATATGTTGAAATGTTAATTCTAACATATTAAAAGAATATTAAATCAAAATGAATACACTTTATAGTGCCTGTTTCTTTAGTGGATCAATACATACTATGCTGCACAGTGTATGTATGTTATTAAAATTACATACGTTTGCGAGTTTAGAAAATGGTTAAGAACATTAGAAGTGTTCTTAAACATGTGGGAAAGGTTTATAAGAGTGTGAGAAGGGCTTATAAAGCCTTAAAATATATATATATATATATATATATATATATATATATATATATTAAAATAAATATAATGCTGCTACTTCACTGACTTCCACTTATCGCGGGGGTGTCTGGATCATAGCCTCCGTAAAGGAGGGGCCACTGTATGTGCAAAACCAGCCAGTTAGGAACAACTGAAAGTCATTCTAATACTTTCATAATTATGAATATAGGGGCTGGGGAGATTGCTCAGTGGAATAAGTGCTTCCCTGGCAAGCACAAGGGCCTGAGTTCAATCCCAGATTCTGCCAAAAAAAAAAAGGGAAATCTGTGCACAGTAGATACAAAGGTGTTATGAAGCTTAACACAAACGCACACACACTATTGGGCATTGTGAGGTTTAAGAGAGATATAATTATGAATCTATACAAAACTAACAATAACTCAATCAGTAGAAAATGTTTGTTGTATTTGTGATGTGGGCTTTATATTTTAAACCAGTTTTTTTGTTTGTTTGTTTTTTTGGCAGAACTGAGGATTGAACTCAGGCCCTTGCGCTTGCCAGGGAAGTGCTTACTCCACTGAGCTATCTTCCAGCCCCTTAAACCAGTATTAACATTCTTGTGCAAGAGTTAACTAGTGGACAGATATGTGAACTTGATTTTTTTAGTTTCTAGCTGTATTGTAGCAGATCAAGGGAAATTAGGAATATTTCAAGGCCTGTTCTGTAAACAGCATTTGTGTGCAAACAAATGTATGTTATAGGAGAGGGCTTATGAATGAGCATTTTCCCTTTTTACCACCTTTTTTCTGACATTAAAATAATGCCTAGGAATTTAGGATTTCTTTTAGCATTTGTTCTCTTCTGCCTCAATAGGGAAAAAGAAGGCACCAGAAGAGATGGGGCAGACAGCTGAGCCCCTGGGCCAGGCTTGTCAGGGATACTTTAGAAATGATATACTTCCTTTCTGTAGGCCTGAGCTCATCTGACGAATGGGCATTGTGACTTGAGTTTGCTTCACAATTTGCAAAGCATTTTCCATATTTTTTATCTTATAGGAATATCCAAAACTCTTTCAAAATAGGACAAATAGTATTTTATTTCTATGAAGATGATACTGGGAACCAGGAAAGCGCAGTGATTTATTTAATATCCTTGGGCACATTGATGTACTAGCACGTGATTTAGTATATTACAGTACATACAATAGAAACTAAAGGCTTGGGAAAGACCTACTTTGTAGAAGAACTAGGACTAGAACATACATTTTTTACTTCTTAATTATGTTGACTTTTCCACTGTGTTTGAGTTGTTTGTTTTGGTTTGGGTTTTTTTGTTTTGTGTTGTTGTTGTTGTTTTGGTATTGGGAACTGAACTCGGGACCTTGTACTTGCCAGGCAGGTGCTATGCCACTGAGCCATCTCCCTGGCCCTGTGTTCCAGTTTTGTAGTTAAGAGATTTGGTGATGTTAACCTCCAGCTAATTTCCTCTCATTTTCACTTTCATCTTCTTGCCAGATGCTTTATCTGTGGTTTTTGAGATCATGAAGCAAGAAGAATTTGAATTGCCCTCCACTCAGCTCCTTTCTCTCTATGTTTTATATCATTGCCTGGCAGAGAAGACCAACCTCAGCGTGAGTAATCTGCCTTTCAGCAATACTGAGAATTTTAGGGAAGAGCAAGCAGTGGCTGGTCGTGTAGACACTTGCTTTCAGAATCTAGAAGCAGGCATCCGATGTGGTCCTCCTGTGGCCATGCATACCCTGGAAGGAGTGTTCATTCTGGACATATCAGTTACTGCTTTCAAGCAGAGCAGATGTTCTGCTTGAGAAAATTTGAAATCGAATCCCAGTATACATTTTGGTTTTTTTGTTTGCTTGTTTGTTTGGTTTGATTTTTTTGTTTTGTTTTAGGGGCTGTTTATTTTGTCTTGTTTTGTTTTGTCCTACCTCGGGCAGGTAGTTTTGTATTTGGTACAGGGTCTCACTGTGCAGCTCAGATTTGTAGTAATCCTCCTGTTTTCAGCCTCCCCAGTGCTGGGAGTACAGGTGTGCAGTACCAATCCCGGTCTCCAGCTCAGCGCACCCAGGGGCGGGACTGGCATGGCATGTGGTGCCCCTGATCCCTATGCTTGCCTAAGCAAGTGCTTAGTCTGCTGAGCTATATCACTTCTTGATCTTTTGGCTATGAGCAAGTGTAGGTAGTTTTGTTATACAGGCCTTCTGTGTATTTGGAAGGCACTGTTCCACTCAGCTGCACCCTGGCTTCTTGTGGGCATTCTGAAACTTGAGCTGGGCTGAGTCACCTGAGACATCCAGAAATGGGTCATTTATAATCATTGAGAGCTGAATGTTCAGGGAACATCCTGTATCAAAGAAGCAGGTGGGCAGCTCAGTTTAACCACAATGTAGGATATTAAATACTGATTATTTCATTTGTGTATTTTGGTATGGTTACTCTGGATCACTTGTGTTCTAGAATTCTAGAATGCCAAGTTTTGGCTTCAGCTCTTAAGTTAGGATGTTGAGTCATTGCTTATTTCTAGCCTAAGACTGACAGCAGTAAAAACAATAATGACTGAGATTTAAGTATAACTTACTTTACATTGTTCTTGGTGTTTTAAATGTTTTCATGGCAGTATAGTTATTCTGCTCAGTCCAGGTTAGAGACATACAGGTAATCTGAGCAATAGATAATTATGATCTAGCAACCAAGGTGTACTGGAATTAGAGTACCTGCTGGACATATTTTGGAAGAAATTACAAGATGAATTGGATATATAAGCAAAAAAGGTAGAGATCAAATATGGTTTGGTTTCTTACTCATTTGGACAGAGAGAATCATGTGTTTGGAAAGGGAACTGAAAGAAGACCAGGTGTTTTTTTGGGTTTTTTGTTTTTTGGGTTTTTTTTTGGTGGAACCAGGGATTGAACTCAGGTCCTTGCACTTGCCAGGGAAGTGCTTATTCTACTGAGCCATCTCCCCAACAAGACCAGGTTTTATAAGGAAGAAAAATCATTAACCTGGCCCTGAACTTGTTATAATTTGAGTTGCTTTTGAGGGTGAAGAGATTTCATGGTGGATGTTGGGAACATAATCAAGAGATAGGAGCTGAACATACAATCGTTTTCCTTTGTTTAGAGACGGGTCTTGATGTATAATTCAGGCTGGGCTTGAACGTACTGGGTAGCCCAGGCTGGTCTCCAACTCCTCCTGCCTCAGGCTCCCAAGTGTTGGGATTACTGGCATGCACCACCACAGCAGGCAAAGATACAAATTTGGAGATTGAGGAATGAAAAATATTACTGAATTTAGAGCATAGAGTTGAAACCTGTGTTTCCGTAGAGTAGCGGAGCAGGAATCCCAATTGAAGTGCACTGTGGAATGGTTTAGAGCTAGGAACAAGAGATAGGAGTATAGGCAACTCTCCCAGGGTGTCTAGCCGTGAAGGGGACCAAGAGGGGGGAGAACCTTGTATTCAAGGGAGAGGCTCACACATAAAATGAGCAAGCCTTGAGGACATTGGTCAGGTAACACCTGAGTATCCCTTTTTAAAGATGCCTGGAACCAGAAGTGTTTCAGATTTTAGTCTTCAGGTTTTGAATCTTTGCCCACACGTAATGAGATATTTGCACATGCTAATGAGTTAGTGGATGATGCCCAAGTCTGAACAGACTTCGCTTGTGTTTCACGTGCATGTAGCTGGAGGTAATTTTATACTTTTCATAATTTTAATCTTGAAACAGTTTCATGGTATGGAATTTTCCACTCACCGTGTCACATCAGTGCTCGAAAAGTTTCATATTTTGAGACTAGAGATGCACAACCCCTATCACTATTCTGATTACTGTCACCATACCTGCTCCATTCCTAGCACATCAAAGGTAACTGTTGTTTATATACTTCACTGCTTATGTGGCTTTCAATCTATAGGGAGAAAAATGGTTTCAATCTTTCATATTTATTATTTATTGGCTTTTCAAGCAGTGTTTGTGGAGAAAATCAAACTTCCCTAAATTAAGAATGATTTGCATTTTAGCATAGAATAGCCTGGTTCTTAATCAGCCTTTCACTTATCTGTACTGCCCAACAGTGTTGTTTTTCTCTCCCCATTCTCCCGTCATGAGTGTGCACATGTGCGCGCGCGCACACACACACACACACACACACACAGACACACACAGGAAAACCTTGAACCAGAGCTCTCATGTTGCACAAAGGCTATTCACAGTCAAGAAATTCGGGTGCTGTTAACACCTGGGCCCCATTGCAGCCTCCAGACCTTATGTATTCTCTGCTTTCTCCCTGACCTCTAAGCGAGTGCAGGGCAGGCTGAACTTTCTGTTGTGTGTCTCAAGGCTGCAGCCCTGGCTGGTGTATACTCAAGTGGTACTGCCACGCTCAGACTCCATTGTCTGGGAAGCTGCCCTCAAGGCCCTGCGTTTCCAAGGAGGTGCCCGTCATTGCTGCTATCACAAGTACGTGGCAAGCTTAGCAGTGCTAACAGTTTTTCTTGGGCCACGCCCATCTCAGAAGGCATCCGTTTTATTGAAGTGTGATTTTGCACCCTGGGTTGAAGGAGGTAATCATTCAGTGTTCATCTGATTGCCTCATTTGTTTTTAAGAAACACACATCTATCTGAAAGTGACTTCATGATACTTACTTTAACATTGTAAAGAAAAAGCCTTATCATTGTGAATTGTGCAGAATTCAAAAGCAGCCTCCCTCATGCCACAACCGTGTGAGAGAGTGTGCGTGCTGACAGGCACTGAATCTTCCTTAGTGGTCAGTGCAGGTCCAGCATGTGCTCTTTAGTTTTGTTTTGCTTTTCTGATTGTAAAAGGAACTGTTAATCATTGCCAGAAATTTGAAAAATACAAGAAGGAAAATATTCATAAGTTTGATGCCCAGAAATTTATTCACACAGAGAATATTATTTTGTATTTTTCTTTAAACATACTTATACAATTGTTAACAAAGTTAGGTTTGTAATTTTTTTATGGCTTTGTTACTTTGATATTTTTACTTAATACTACAGTGAGTTCATCCCCACTGTGATATTGTAAATCACATTCTTGCATTAAGTATCCATTGCTTAGCTGGACCCTGATCTGGTGCATTCCTGTTGCAGTGTGAAGAGGAGAGGAACTTTGGTGCATCCCTGTTACTTCCAGGCCTAAAACAGAAGAACTCAGTGGGTGTGAGTTCGCAGTTATATGGCTATGCCCTTCTTGGTAAGCTGAGTGACCCTTTTATATATGTTGTTCTTCATAGATACATTACTGCAGTCTTCTAGTTAGTAATAAGATGATAATTCAATTTAAACGTATTAGTGAAACTCCACGTACAACCTTCACTGTTAGCCATAAAAATAGACCACAGTTATAAGGTAGGTCTAAGACTTTTTTTTTTATAATGTATTTAGTACAGGATCTACAGGATCTCACCACACAGATAGGACTCGTAGTGATTCTGTTTTCAGCCTCCCAAGCACTGGGATTACAGGCACACGCCACCACACTCAGTTTCAGTCACTGTCTCAGTGCACTCCTGGGGCAGGGCAGCACTGCATGCCAGGGGTCAAAGCGCGGCCACTGCGCTCTGCCTGAGCAGGCGATTTAGTCCCCTGAGCTATCTGGCCAGCTCTTAAGACTGTTCTTAAAACCCAAGGCCACTGCTGACAAGGAGAGAAATGGATGTTGCGGCTGTGGGTGACGATGAGCACATTGGACATGAGGACCAGGTGGAGAGCAGACATTCCGGCTCTGTCAGGAAAGTCAGCCAGGGAAGCCTTTCCTAGCACTAGCAGGGGTCTTCCTGTTTCTTTAGACCTTAAATCCAGGAGGTAAGGAATTAAGAATTAAAAAGTTAAGACTGAACTAGTGTCTTCAGTTTTCTTTTCAAGGAAGGAAGGAGAAACTCAAAGAGCACAACCAATGGCACTTTGGGGGAAGCACAGTGAGTGGGACGCTGGCTTACCTGTGGGGCCCTAGCTGCACAGAGGGCCAAGTCAAGAGGGGTAGCCTTGGCCTCTGGAATCTGGGTGGAGCCTGTGGCCTCTGAGCGAATAACATGCAGCCTATACGTATCCTGGTTCATGGAGACATATTAAACACATGTTATTTCACTGGTCTCCTGTTCTCCCTTTCAAAGGCAGGCCTCTGGGAAAGTGCCTTCTTGATCATTCTTTGCTTCTGCTTCTTTTTTGGTGTTTTGAAATCAAAGTTATAGCCTGACTGCTTTTGAAGTTGATCTTCGCTTGGAACATAATGTGGCATTCTTGGGTGCTGATTCACATATGAACTGAGAACAAGGTTTTTCAGAATTTGCTAGGCTGGCTGTTAAACTAACAAGATTTGGTCACTATTTTTTAAATTCATATTTTCTTTATTTACCACCTATGGTTGATACTGATTTATATGTGTTGTATGGATTATTGAGGAAGTTGGTAGGGTAGGAAAGTGTACTTCGCTGTTACTTACTAGGAGAGGGCCTGCCCTTTGTGACTGGCAGCCAACAGATCAAAAGCTCCTTGCATGGCCTCACCTAACCCTGGTAAAAGCAGTGGCCACAAGGACTGCTGTGTGGCCCCAGGCACCTTAAAGTTCTAAAATTAGCTGTTGCTTGATAAGCTTTGTCTGCTTGTAGCCTGCTGTCCGCTTTCCCAAATCCTTCCCAGGAAAGCTAAGTGAAGGTGGATTTAAGGCCTGGCAGCTCAAGGTCACTTTGGGCATTAGAGCAGAGCAGGTTTCTGCTGCGGCAGTCAGTCAGCCTGTCCAGTCCAAATCACCATGCTGAGCTCCAGGACTCTTATAATGTAAGAATTAATAAAACTCAAGTAAAGGAAAGGAAAAAAAGTTCCTTTTTCATAGAGACCATACACTGATTACTGTGGCACTTTCCAAAACTGTCAGACATTTCTTGGCAAGGGCAAGTTATCAGATGTTGACAAAGTTTTCATTTAGCAAAGTTGTGGAATTTCTTTTTCTGGGAAAAGTTTGAGTCTTGAAGCAAAAATTGTATTTCTGTTGACTTCTGTTTTAAGGGAAACTCTCAGTGGAGGCAGATATGGCATCCTCTTGAAAGTTCCCTCAGACCAGTCAGTCATTCAGGCAGCCTTACAAAAGTCTCTGCCAGCCCAAGTGAAAAAGAGGAAAATTAAAGTCACATGCATTTGTATTATAAAGTGTGTACGGTCAGTTTTACTTCATTGTTGTTGCTCAAATACTGTTTCAATACAGTACTTGAAATTGAACTCAAAGGGGCTGGTGAGATGGCTCAGTGGTCTAAAGCACCTACTTAGAACAAGCTTAGCAAACCACAGGGACCGCGGTTCAATCCCCCAGCACCACATGCCAGCCAGCCCCGCCCCCTGGTGGGCTGAGCAGGCCACAC